AAAGTTTTGCGATTAGGACTGAAGCATTTTAAACAGAAAAGTGAAACGCCAATGGTTTTTTCAAAAGTGTTTATTTTCTGAGCAAATTTGGACTGAAATTGGCTCAAAGCAGATGCACAAGAATTTACTCATTTTATTCCGGAAAAACTGTGCATTTACCGACCGGATTTGCTCAAAAAGAAATGATCATTCAAGGTGGACATTATCAAAGGCGTTTGATAATGTCCAGCGCAGTTGTGGACGAAACGTCAGGAAGAAATTCCTATAAAAATAATTTCTATATGTGATTTGACCGGCCGTGAAAGCCTTCGTAGGTTTATCTCTGCTCTTTCAGGCTGGCATCATCAACACTTTCCTTCTTTCGGCACTAAATTGATGCCCTTTGGGAGTACCCGTACAAATGGGAAGCGCAGACATTTAACAGGTTTCTTCTCCCTAGTAGGAGAACTAAAAACATTTCCAGATAAATATTTTATAGCCGAAAATGCGTGCTTCAATGCTCCATCCAGTGGTGATAAAACTGGCAAGTATCAGCAGGTTTTTTTGTGCATTATGTGGACTCGTCCACCTCAATCGTCCTGATTCAACATCAATTTCACTTTATTCACACTGTCCAAGCGATGCAAATCATCGGCTTTATTATGTTTACTGATTTGAGTAGCACGTGCAGCTGGTTCGTGCCTGTTAAATATGAAAAATCCGCTATCCAATTATTGGATAAAAATAAATTAAAAAAAAATAAAAACTCCAATTATTCGAAAATGTCTAATCGAGCTTAAATAGGGCGTGCCCGAACTGCTAAACGTGTCTAGGGAAAGAAGGTTAATTGTGCAGTCAAATCAACCAAAAAAAAAGGACAAAGACCAAAAGCTTATGAAAATTATCCGCGTTTTAACTGCGTTCCAGACGCCAATAGCTGTGGACGCTCTCTGGCTTAAGACCCATTAAAAAAATTGCAGTTTTACCCACCTAACTTCATTTGTTTAAAAGGTCTAAATATACGCTGCTCTAGCGGGCCTGGCGCAATTTAAAGTTCAATTTAATTGCGAAACAACATGAAATTATCAATCAATTGTATGCGACATTTAAAAACTATTGGATACAATTTAATAGTAAAATTAATTTAAAATTAATAATAGTAAAACACCACATTTTTGCGGAGTTCCAAAAATTCATAAAGTTAATATACCTTTACGAACAATAGTTAGTAGTATAATACACCTACAGATCCCTTAGCCAAATGTCTTTTAAACATTTTAAATCCCCTAATAAATAACACAACTACCTATATTAAAAATTCTGAACATTTTTTACAAAAATTATATATTATAAAATTAAAAAAATTCCGAAATAGGAGCACTATTTATCAATCTGTAATAAAAGACGTGAGGAAATTCTGTCTTTTTTAAAGACAAAAATTTTTGAGGCGAAATACCCAAAAAGAAGTTTGAGACGAACTGTTGCACTTTGTTGAATATGTGAGTTACGGACGTACCAGGGGGGTCTTGCCATCCTGCGGAGCATTTTTTTTTGGAAGATTTGGAGTTTGCCTATGGTTATTTTGGAAGTTTGACTAATGATGGGGGCCGCATAGCATATTTGCGACCTGATTACTTGCTCGTAGAGCAGAGTTTTGTTTTTCAGAGTGAGCTCGCTTTTCTGGTTTAAGAGAGGGTCAAGGATGCCGGCTGTTTGGCTTCCTTTGGAGATTATTTTGTTAATGTGCTCAGCAAAGTTTCGTCTAGAATCGATGATAACTCCAAGATATTTGAGAGATTTACAAAGAGGGATTTCGGTGCTGTTGAGCATTAGTTTGGGTGTGTTAGTGGGAGGTCTTTGTTTGGAGATTATCATGGCTTTAGTGTTTTCTGCGTTAACTTTGATTTTCCAGGTAGGTGTCAGCCCACTCTTGAAAAATGTTTAAGTGCCGTTGAAGAGGGCCAATTAAGTATTTAATACTCCGGTTGGAATAGTAAAAGTATCGTCGGCAAATAGCGCTAGGTTGGTGGGGGGATTTTTGGAGCATCAGGATGTTGGAGCAGGAGGATTTGATTTTGTTCAGCAGAGTGAAGAACTTTGTGTGTGAGTGAGAGGAGGTAGCTTGCCACCCACTGAACGAAGGGTAATGGAAGTTTGTGAGTGTGAAGGAGCTTCCAAATTAGCCCCTCGTGCCATACTTTAGACGACTCCAGTGGAGCATCTGTTCTGGCAAGCAATCGTCGCATCTTCAATTAGCCTGGCTGCTTGCATTTTTAGTCATGTTTTTGCATGAATCCGCACTGCTCTCGAGGGATTAAATGGTTTTCCGAAATTAGTTTTCGGAGGCGGTCGAGAAGGAGTTTTTCTGTTAGTTTGGAAATAGTGGCAAGGAGGCTGATGGGTCTCCAGTTTTGTGGAAAGGTCTTGTTTTTGGTGTGGTTGGGGATTAATACTACGGAGGCGGTTTTCCAAGTTGGATACAAAAAGACGCTTAAAAGGGCGATAAAATTCCACCAACTAACAAACCACCTGGTCTGTTCCAGATCAACCCTCTCCATCCGGATCGAGTCGCTTGAACGCACCCCAATGACGCCCCAATGGATGCTCTTCTGTTCAACTACAGTCAGCTGGCCCTCATCGGCACCAACCAGGCCGACTTCGCCACCGAGAACCTCTCAGAAGTGAACATCAGCAGATCGTCGACCAGACTGACCTCCCCACTAACCGTCACCATTGTGGTGCTGCTGGCGTTCCTCCTATCGCCGATGATCCTGATCGGGAACTCCTTAGTGTTGGTGGCGATGTACCGCTTCAAGCGGCTACGGACGCCCAGCAACTATCTAGTGATGTCGCTGGCCACTAGTGATCTGGGAGTGGGCATGTTCATGCCAGTCGGGTTCTACCTGGAGCTGAACGGGATCAGCGCCTTCCCAGGCGTGCAGGCCTGCCTGTTCAGCTACGGCGTGGTGATCGGATTGTGTTGCGTGTCGGTGCTGGTGATGGTGGCCATTGCTGTTGATCGGTTCACTTCACTGGCGCGCCCGCTGCGCTACAACAACTTGATCACACACTCGGCCGTTGAGCGGTACATAGTGATCTTCTGGATCTACTCCAGCTTGGTGGGGTTCAGCCCGCTGGCCTACTCGGTTGTGATGGGCGACAAGAAAAGGTAAGCATGCCACTCGGAAGGCTAGGGATCAGACGTCTTCTAAAGAGACGTCGTTAATGTTGATGCCGATGTTTATTGAACCGGCGCAAATGAGCCTTCAGGCAGATTTGTATGGCACTTTTGAGGTCTGCAGTGCGATGTTTTTGCTAAAAGGGGTGAACACTTCAAATTGGCAGTCGTTCTGGTGTGGAGCACGCAATTTTCACGGAAATATCAACTTGAGCTCCACATTTAGCCATCGCTCAAAAATCGGGATTTGCCGCAATTTATATGAAAATTTCTACAGTTTTAGACTGAAATGTTCTCTAAAGATTGTGAAAATTTCACATTGCTCGTTGCTTTAGTCGGGAAGATGCGATTTTTTTAAATTTAGAGCGCAGTTGGGTGAAAATATCAATTTTGAGAGCCACATTTACCAAGCAGTAAAAAATCAGGATTTTGGGCCATTCTCCTAAAATTTTGACGAGCTTCATACTCGCATTTGATCCAAAGGTTCTGGAAATTCCAAATTGAGATTCGTTCAATTTTGGAATTTGCAAGAATTTTGAAAGCAACGAGTGCAATTGACTAAAAACAACTTGGAGCTCCACATTTACTCATCGCTGACAAATCGGAATTTTCCGCAATTTATATGAAAATTTGCACATCTTTAGACTGAAATGTTCTCTAAAGATAGTGAAAATTTCACATTGATCTTTGCTTTAATCTGGAAGATGCGAATTTTTTAAATTTAGAGCGCAGTTGGGTAAAAATATCAATTTTGAGATTAACATTTACCAACCAGTGAAAAATCAGGATTTTGGGCCATTCCGCTAAAATTTCGAAGCTCTTTATACTCGCATTTGATCCAAAGAATGTGAAAATTTCAAATTGAGATTCGTTCAATTTTGGAATTTGCAAGAATTTTTAAAGCAAA